GCCTATACCAAAAGGAGGGTTTTTTTCTTTGTGAGTGGAGGGTAGCAGGAGACAGATCAAAGGAGAGGAACACAGTTTTGCCCTCCTGGTCAATGTGGCTTTGGGGGAGTCATCACAGGAACCTGGTTTTGAAGGTTCTGAGCACCCATTACTCGCTCTGAGGATGTAGAGGTTACAGAGCTGGCAGTGCTCAGCAGCATTTTAAATTGAGTCCATACTTCTTTGATCAGCTGTCAACTTGGGTAAAAAGCCACACAGAAAACCAGATCGTACATCTAGATGGGCTTTCTTGATCAGTGGGGAAAGTGATCCTAATTATGTGGGGCTGAGAAGGGTTACTGCTTCTTGGAGCCCCTGTGTGTACACACGCAGCCTGCTTTATGGGGCTTCAACTACCGCTCGTGTCCTCTGCTAGCACCTCCTGTAGTCCAGTGACAAATCCCAGCCACCTTTGTCTCCTTCCAGGGTAGGACAGTGAGGCTTGTGCATCAGGCAGGAGTTCGCAGAGACTCGGTCCATGCTATTCAGTCCTCATGCTTTGAAACAAGATGGAGAACGTGCATTTATGGCATCCCTGTTGGTTTTTGTTGTTTTTTTTTTTTTCCTGAGCCACCCCTGAGAAACAAGGGACTCATGAGCTGGTGCTCGGTGCTGCCGTATGTGCTTCCCTCTCTAGTACAGCTGGGAAACGCGTTGGGGAGTCACAAAGCTGGCGTCTGTCAGGAGATGGGTGTCAGAAGCTGATCTGAACATGCAGATATTCTTCGTTCACTCACACACCGTCTCCTGCGCACTGCCTGACCCGTACTTCTCTACACACATTTATATATAGCATTTAGATCCCTTTCCGCAATCTCCCACTGACGTGCACATGCCCAGGGAGATTTTTCTATACAGCCCTGTGTTCTTTACTCTGCCTGTTACCTACGTGGTGGGCTAAAGTAGTCACCAGGAGCTTTCCCCTGTACAAACTTCCAGAGTTCTCCCTTCTTTTCTTAGCCTGTTGGCCAGATCTCTTAGAAAGGCAATATTGGACCTGTTTTCAGCAAGGGGGTTTTTCTCTTCATAATTTCCTAGGGAGACTCCACTTGGGACAACATGCATGATGAGATGAGTGCCAGTTTCTTGCTCGTTATCCTATAGCCTCCAAGTCTATGTTTTCCCTCCCAAGCAGAATAAAGGACAGAGCCCTGGCTGGGATGTCCCATCCCCCAGTATCCAGACCTTGCACTCCATTTGGGCTGTTTTGCTTTTCCTTCCATATATAGTGTGCTGCTGCAGGCTATTTTTAGCCCCTTTTTTGCTAGCTTCGGATCCTTTGTGATACGATAGCTGCTCTGAGACACAGAGATCTCTGCTCTTTGGCAATGCCCACAAATGGAGAGCAGCGGCGAGGGGAGAGGGAGCCCTTTAATTATCACATGGAAAAGGAGAGAAAAATGCAGTGCAGGGGAGGGGGAAGAAGACCCAGAGACAATGCTTCCTGTGCCTTCCAGGACTGTGCACTTTACACAGGGAATTGTTTCCTAACTGTTGTCCCACTTCGCTTTTGTCTGTGTGTGGGTATGGGGAGGGTTTTCTGTTGATTGGGTAATAATAATGACCTCTTCACTGTTGTTTGAGAGTGTATGTGAAGTGAGGTGGCTGAGTCTCATGCCATCGTTGTGGTGAGACAGCTCTCTTCCATAAGCTGCCTCCACTTGAGCTCTGGTTATGTGCCTGTGCAAATTAGTGAAGGTTGTCTTGGCTTTAGGGGGTGTGTTGGTGGGTTCGTGCTGGGATGAGTGAAGGTGCACTTGCTGGGCAGTGAGGAGTGGGAACTGGCCAGGGTTTCATCTCAAGTGTGGATGAGGAAAGACTGAGCAGCACTGGCAGAGCTATTGATCAGGGAGGCTGTTGCAATCATCCGGAACCAAACTTGAGCAAAACAGAACGCAAGGTGTTTTGGGGGATAAGGGGATTAAATCCGGGGTAGTGAAACCTGAATGCAAGCTCAGACTTTGCAAAGCTCAAAAAAAGATCTGAAAACTCTCCCTTTCCTATGGTCTTGGGTTTTACATCTCATTGTTTCCACCGGTTGAAGTCTAGCCACATGGGTACCAAAGCTGCTTTCCAAGACCAGGCGTGCAGATGAGAGAAGTTTAAAAAGGAGCTGGTCTCCTACAACATTTCATTTTCTCTAGTGTTAAAATAAAATACCAGGTTTTCTTGAATCTTGTCTCTGGATTTGTAATGTCTGTGGGGCCTGAACCAAGCTGGGATTTGTAAAACTGATTTGAGATGTGGGATTGAAAAGGAGAGTCTCTCCTCTTTTTTCATGTGCCGTAGGTTAGGATAAAGAAGGGAAGGGTTGGCTGGCTTACAGGGCAGCTGTTAAAGCTAGTAAAAATCACACTTAATAGTTTAATTTCCTATCGGATCCTCTCTGTGGTATTCTTTCTCCCCTTGCAGTCTGGCACAGGCTGGCTAGAGTTTTTCTGTGCAGTTCTTCGAAGTCAGGGCATTGTGAAGGAGGCTTGGGGATTGTTTTACAGGTCCAAAAAGAGAGGAAAAGCAGAACAGGGAAAGCAGATTTAACAAGAAGAGGGAAGTGTTAGACCCAGTAGGGATTTCATGGGTTTAATCACTTCTCTTGTGTCATAGGGTTACACTGAAATGGAGGTGGAAAAAAGAGAAAAAGAGGTAAAAAGGAGAACTGCTTTAAAGCAAGATGAAGTTATTTAAGTGTTTGAGTGTGAAAGATTAAGTTGATGGCTTTGGTAGAGTTTTGGAGGGGCCACAGGAGAGGGCCAAATGACATGATCCTGCCTCTGAGGATAGAGTAATACAGCATTTTATTGTGGTTTCCTTCTGACAAGTCTTGGTATTGGACACTGTGGGGCACGATTCTGCATTTAACATCCTTTAAGATTAATACTGACCCATGAGGTTGTGCGAGGACAAAAAGCTACGATCTGAGCCGGGCACTGCAGTGAACATCGCAATGTTCTGTAGTGAACAAAGTGTTTATTCTGGAGTCAGGCATCCCAAAATCCCATGCAGGATGCTGGGCCTAAGTGCCCAAAACTGGGAAGTCATTTTGGACTAAACCAGATCCCAGCACTTAGCAGCTGTGTCTTTGTCCTGCTTGCAGGCTTCAGGTGTGTTCTTTGCAGTTGCTTTTTCACGTACCACGTACAGAGCCAGCTAGTGCAGCAGCACTTGTGCTACGTGGACACAGCTGTTCTGGGCAATATTGAACCAGGAATATGACCCTCATGGTCTTGCACATTTTATTGCTTGTTGCAGGCAGTCTTTTCCTCCAGAGTCTCCTGTGGAAAATGATCTGTGGAAGCTGATGGCTATTGAACTTTGACTTTGCTCATTGACTTGCGTGCGTGGAGATGCTCTCATGTATGTGCATGCCAGTGTGTATGGCATCACTGGCTGCCAGATCCCCCAAATCCTAGGGCTCTGTTTTCATGCTCTGGATCGGTTGAGCTGTTCTGTGGCTCTTGGTGCCTCCCTTTTCCGCTGTGTTTCAAGGCAGTGTTGATTTGGTTTGAGCTGGACCCAGTGCCCACAGTCTCCATTCTGCTGCCGATGTACCTGCCTGTGCTGGCTCCCTGTCAGCGGGTGTGCTTGCCCATGAGAGCTGGAGTGAGTGATTGGAAAAGATGACGAGGGAGGTTTGAAGGACTCCTGCACACAGTAAATCTTTACTCTGCAGGAGAAAGCAAGAGGGAGAGGAGGAGGAGCGCTGTGTCAGACTGAAGCTTAAATGAGTCCAAGCTGGCACGTCAGAGCAATCTTTATTTCCTCCTTTACACTGATATTGGGTGACCTCCAGATGTGTGTTCTTCCCCTCCTGGTAGCCTGTGAAACTGCCTGAGGGAGTAGGAGAGGGAGGAAGAGAGGGAGAGACCCAAGGAAGGACAGCTTTTGCTCTCTTCCTCCCTGTGATCATGCTCAGGTAGACTAAGCCCTTCCTGCCCCTTCCCCAACCCAGGCTCCAGTGAACAGGCTTTTTCCCCCTCTCTGGAGCCCACATCAGGACAACAGCATTTTCTGTCCTCAGTCCAAATCCTGATGGAGAGAAGGCTGTCCCTTACCCATTTTGCACCTGCATGGACTTTTCCTGGTCTTACTGGGAGCTGTTCCTGGCTGCTCAAAAGGCTGCCTGTAGGTTTCCACAGCCTTTGCTGAACTGTGGACACTTTTCACATGGAGACTAGTAGCTCTCCAGTAATCAGGATTGAGAAGGAAGAGAGAAAGTTGAGCAAAAAGAAATCTTACAAAATTGACAGGGAAGAAGGGAAGGAATGCAACAGGGGAACTATCCTGTCATTGTCTTGCCTTCTCTTCTCCAGTCCTTCCCCCCACTCCTCACTGCCAAGCTTCTCAGGCATATAGCCTTTGCTGCTCTTCCTCCACCTTAATTCATCTCCACCTCTGCTGCTTTCTTGCTCTACTCTGCACTTTCCCTTCTGCCCTCCTCCTGCTCCACCCCATACATTGTCTTGCCATGTCTCCTAATAGCGCTGCTGTTCTCCAACACACGTAGCATATCTCACATGTTTCTACCCCCCCTTACGCACAAAGGCACACTCTGTGCACCTCCTTCCCTCTACAAACACACACAAGGACATAACTGTACAAACCTCGGCATATTGGCATTGGTCTCACTTCCAGTAAAATTACTTTTTCTTCATATTAGGCCAAGGCAAGAGTGCAGAGACATTTATGAAACTTTGTTTAATGTACTGAAAAGCCATCGGCTAGAACATTTAGGAAATTGATTTTCCTGGCATTGATGAACTCTTTTTATTTTACCCCAGTATTAATTACTTTTTTTTTTTTAAACAAATTAATTTAAGAGTCGTAAAACCTAACAAGTGAGCCAAACGTCAGTAGATCATGTTCCCCTCTCCCCTTACTCCCCCTCCCTGCTACTAGTGCTGCTATGGGAGGAGAGGAAAAATCAGCGCCTTGCGTGACTCTCTCGCTTTGGTTCTCTGTAGGGGAAGCTTCATCGCTGCGAGATTATGCGGCCACCACCATGAACGAGTTCCTGGGCATGTTCGGCTATGATGATCAGAACATGCGGGATGAGCTGGCCCGCAAGATCAGCTTTGACAAGCTGAACGCTGCTACCTCAGAGGCCACTGCGACTGCCGCCTCTCTCCCTGGTGAGGATGCCATGAGCAAACGAGCCCGCTTCTCCAAGTATGAGGAATACATCCGCAAACTGAAAGCTGGAGAGCAGCTCTCTTGGCCCATGCACTTGGCCAAGTCTGAGGAGCTGGGCTCCAAGCTGGGCAAAGAAACTTCCTCAGTGCTGGCACAGCCCATTCGGGTGCCAGGTCCAGATGCCTCCATGACGGAGACCAAAGCCACCATCCTGCCGCTGCCCTCTCCCAGCAGTTCCCAGATGCACGGCCTGATGTCACGGGCCTCCAAATATGACTTCTTCATTCAGAAGCTGAAGACGGGTGAGAGCATCAGGCCACAAAATGGCAACACTTACAAGAAGGCCTCCAAGTATGACCTAGAAAATGTCAAGTACTTGCACCTTTTCAAGCCTGGAGAAGGAAGCCCAGACATGGGAGGAGCCATTGCCTTCAAGACAGGCAAAGTAGGCCGGCCTTCCAAGTACGATGTGAGGAACATCCAGAAGCTCACTCCAGTAAAAGCTCCAACACCCAGCCTGGCCCCTGCTCCCCTCGCCAGCACCCCCAGTAGCACTCCTGTGGCTGGGCCAGAGCAGTCCGTCTCATTGCCATTCAACACTCCTGAATACCTGAAATCAACTTTCTCCAAGACAGACTCCATCACAACTGGAACAGTCTCTACAGTAAAGTAAGTGGCCTCCCACTTTTCTTACATTTCTGTTAGTGAGGGATCATACCTCAAGTCTGTGTGTGGATCAGTGGGCAGTTCCATTTGGTGTGATGGTAAATACTGCACTGTTGTGTTTCTTTTTGGTCTCTGTTGGAGTGTCTGCTTCTCTGTTGCACCTTGCATATCTTATTTTCATTAAGGATGTGGCTGGCCACCATCACAGCTGTGAATCTAGAGCCCACTGGCTCCTGGGTTTGTGTGTTAAAGTGAAAGATGAGGGAACATGGTGCTGTCAGCACTCTAAGGTCAAGGTTATAACTTTACATTCTCCTTCTTCTGGTTCCCCAGGCATCCAGCTGTGTCTGTAGGAGAACCTGATTCTTGCTTCCATTTAATTCAATGGCAAAACTCGGCTGACTTGACTCTACTACTGGCTTTATAGCAAGATGGGGCTTTTTGTTTGTCCCAGAACTCAAAAGACATTATGGTGCCTAATTCCCATCACTTTACATAGGAATTAAGCATATACGTACTTCTGTGGGGCCAGGCCTGTGTCTTCTCAATTCGCTTGTTCCTTACACAGCAAGAAGTGATTCAGTTACCCCTCAGACTGGGCAAACTCATTAGCCCAATTACCACTAATAACCTTGTACAGATACGTTGCTGGCCATCTCTGCAGTGATGCCATTGGCTGAATGGAGGTATCTGAAGGCCTTGCCATACCTTGGGTTACTTCTTAATGTGGCTTCCAGAGGTACTTGCTGTAGAAAAGCTATGTATGTATGTGAGGCTGCAAACAGGAGGAAGGGAGGGACTTCTCTGCTTTCTTGTCGTGGTTTGGATTTACTTGTTTCTCACTGTGGACCTGAAGCTGTTGTGAGCTGTAAATCCCATGGAATCATTTATAGTAAGTCTAGGACCTCTGCACCTCTGTGGCAAATGCCATCACACACGCCCTACTACTTTGCCCTCTGGTAAGGAGAAAGGCTGGTTTATATTTAATATGTGGACCTAGGAGGTCTTGGGCTGAATCCGCACTCAAATGCTCTGTGCAGTCTCAGGCCAGTCTGCATCCCCCACTTTCCATGTTTCCCCACCTGGAAAGAGGTGATGATACCTGTCTTCCATTTCCCAACTGCCTGCAGACAGATTTGGGAGCTCTGTGGTTAAGGTGCCTGGGAAAGGGTAAGGGATTATTCACATTTGTGTCTAGCCCCCACTCGGGATGAACCCAGTGTGTGCTGCAGATGGTGGGCAGGGACTCTGATTACTGAAAACCACCGTGTTGTAAATATTCCTGTAGGCACAGTGCCTTGTTGTGATGAGTGACTTGGCCAGGGACTCGGTGCCTGAAGAGTCTGCAGAATGCTCAGCCGCCATCCTAGACCTGTGCTTGGGGGGCTGCAAGCCTCTGCTTGTCTGCTTTGGTGTTGTACTGGGATCCCAGTTTGATTTCCTTTCTCTTGCTCATTTCCTGCCACTTGCACTTGTGGCTTTGCAGCACCATGGTGATCCCTCCTGGAGCCACGGGAATTCATCAACTGGGGCATCATGATGGGGCTGCAACAGGAATGGAGATGACCAGGGCCTTCAACCTGACACTTCCCAGTGTCCTTCTCACACATTGGAGTACAGAAGGGGCTCTGGTCCCTCCTCCTTCAGGCTACTCACTAGATCCAGGCTTTCCTGATAAAAGAAAGCCCCCCATTAATTGTGCTGGTGGAAGAAGTGCTAACTGTGGTGTCTGGGACCTGGCTTTCCACAGTCCCCACTGGGACCAAATAACCAGTCAGGAATTGCCCCTTAGCCTCACACATGTACTCCAGCCATGGCTTTAAACTAACATGTGATTCTATTAACCTGCCCTGAACTAACCTACCTCCTTCAAGTGAACTCTGTGTGAAAGTGTCCTTGTTCAAACCAGGCTCCAGAGCTGTCATGAGTAGGAGTGGAGGTTGGGTGGGGCAAAACTGAGAAGGAGGACCACGAACAGCCTGTCTGGGATTGTATTGGTATGCCACTGTCTGTTAGGTAGGCTGGAGTCCAGCCCTTTATCTCTTTTCCTCTTGCTAAACTCATTGAGGATGTAACTTTTGTCTGTTTCCTAATGATGTTAAGTAACCCAGGCTTATGTGCCAGTTGGGTGCAGTTGGATTGGTTTTCTCGTCGATTGAAATGCATAAATACCTTTGCTGCCCCATCTGTCTATTGGAGTTGGGGTATCTGTGTGAAAAAAGAGGCAATTAAAGCCCCATCTAGGGGGCTGTGGCCACGTTGCCAGGACTGGGTGGGAGTAGGCTGTGCCTGCTGACCATAGGAGATGTACTGTAGCTCACAGCATGGGTGAGGCACAGAGACTCTTCTCCCACAGTTGAGCCTACAGCAGACGTGTCTCAGTGGCCCTTCCGTGCACTTAAGGGCAGTGTTACAAGGTGCTTCAGGAAGGTGCTTGTTTTCATGTGTCCATCACTTTTGTATATGAATATTTAGGTTTTTCTGTGGAAAAACAGATTTTTGTGGTTGGTCTTCTCAGTGTCTCCAACAAACTGAACTGAGTCCTGCAAAAGGGGAACATGCAGGAGGGGTGGTAGGCAGACTGTATGTTTCCCTAGGAAAAGAAGGTGCAGGATTTGAAGGGTAAAGGGGAGGGAGGTTAAACCCATTGGTGTCTGCTGGGCCCTCTCTCCTGATGTGTAAGGGGTGTGGGATAGAAACAAGGAGCTTATCCTGTGCCCTGTTCCTGCCTGCTAACCAGCTCTGCCCTGTGTGTTTCTCATTAGGAATGGATTACCCACTGACAAACCAGCTGTCAGCGAAGACGTAAATATTTACCAGAAGTATATTGCCAGGTAGGCAAAACTTCACTTTCTTGGGGAGAGGGCTGGAAGGAAGAGGGTGGTGGTGGGAGATGAGCTCTTGTCCATCTGGATCAAGTGTTTAAACCAGTCATTGACACTTCCATTTCCCTCTGGCATCTGTACTTGCTCTGTTCCCATGCTTGGGAGAGCAGTAGCTGTGAGAGGTGTACAAGCATGCCAAGAGCATGCTCAGCTCCCCAGAGCTGTTAGACTGCGTGACAAATAGTGGAAAATGTTTCACTGCAGCAGCCCAGGATTTAAATGGGCGTGCTGTCTCTTGACTGTCGTTCCTTCTGTCCATTGCTGCGCTGCCTCCAGACTTTTTCCCCTGCCATGTCCAGTGCCTGCAGGAGGCAAGCAGAGAACATCTCACCTCTGAGAATCTAGGCTGGAGGAATTCACAAGTGACTTGAGTTCAGGCAGGTCTTGGTATCAATGTGGGATGTTTATCCTAGAATAGTTTGCAGCTCATTTATATGAGAAAAGCTCACTGAATAAGGTGCAGACTAGGACACCTTATCACAGCTTTGGGCAAGCTTAGGTCAGGAATGAGCCATGGTGAGAGGGAGCCCAAGGCTGTTGTGTTGAGACAGAGTGAGTAATGCCATGAGAGCCAGAGGGACAGAGGAGATTATTGGATAATACCTGCCTGCTTTATAGCTCACCTGTAAAGGGTCTGTCAGCCTTTGCCCCTGGCCTGTTGAATCCTCCATCTCTACTATGAGGAAGCTCAGTATGAAAGCCCTGTGTATACAGAAAGACACCAGTCAGGGCAGCAAGCAAACACTTCTCTCCAGAGATAAAACTGAAGGGTTTATTCTCACCAGTATTTGGGCACTTATTAACAAGAGGGGAGTTAAATGTCTGCTGTGCTTTCCCTCCTCTTCAGTCTACAGAGAGTCTCTCTGTGGGAGGCAGTCTGCTGCTGGGAAGGTGCAAGGGAAGATCTTGGCACATCAGCGAGGGAAAAGGGTGGGAACAGTGCTCTCCCTAGCTGGAGAGTGGAACGAGAGGTGACTGCCCTTCTGTCCCTTTTCTCCAAATCCCTGATGTAGGAGAAGGGGGCAGAAGAGCACATGGGAAGGGAGGACAATTGCACCACCAGCTCCTCAAGCAGCCGTGCCTCTGGAGCATGTGGCAACTCACTGCCTTCTGGGGGAGAATGGGAATGAAAGCCCCGTCTTTGCACGGGGCAGGAGGAGCAGCACCCTTTTATTGCTGAGACTGCAGGAATTGCAGAGGATGCCTCCCTTTCTGTCCCCATTTCCCTTCAAGCAGAGCACTGAATAAACACTTCACCCACATCCACTCTTCGTAGCGCTCTGCCAGCCCCTTCCCCTGGGTCAGGCAGGTAACTGAGGGAGGCTCGTGAGAGAGCTAAGGGACACCACATCCTGCTTAAAAAGCTGTGCAAGCCGCCCGTTGGCAGCACAGCCACTTCCCTTCAATTTACACACAATTTTAAAAACAGTTTAAAGCCTTAAAATCAAGGGGTGGGGGGAGAGAGACACGACACTCTATGTCTGTACTGCATAATTAGCTTAATGAGTTTGCCAAAGCCACTGCCAAAAGCTGCCCAGGGATAATCCATTCTCTCACACAACAAAACAAAATCTCTTACTTAGCTAGTTTGGGTTGGGTTGTTTCCCCCCCTCCTCATATATTTATAATTAAAAAAAAAAAAAAAAGACCACAGAAAAAATTATTATTATTATTATTATTATTAGTGCCTCAGCAGATGGTGCTTCTGGCAGCACTTGCTTAAATATTTATTTCTGTGTGGGTTTCCTCCCCCCTTGTAATTGGGGTGGGTTTTTTTTCTTCTTTCTTTCACATCATCGTTATAGGGTAATGAGACTGTAAACACTCTCTAAGCATGCTGACTTCTTTATTTATTATTTTTATTATTATTTATTTCTCTTGGTTTTTCTTTCTAACTCTTGCCAGATCAAGACTAGATTTTTCTGCCCCCACCTCCCCCCAAAAAAAACCCCACAAAAAACAAAATCAAGTGAACCAATTACAGTAAGCGAAGGGGGAAGGGATTGTTACTGTGAAAATTAATCTATGTGCCTGTATGGACAGTTTAGGAGTTTGGATTTGCATATCTGTGATTAGGTGGTCTGTGAGTTTGCTTGTTTCAGGTGTGTGCATGGAAATTGTGGGTACGTTCATGTAAATGAAGAGGGTTGTTGATGTACCTCAGAGTACGCACATGTAAATGTGCGCGTGTGTGTGCGTGTAAGTGTGTGGTGTGTAAGCTTTCCTGTTATGAAAAAGCTAAACAGATGCTGTGCTTTAAAAATTAATAGCTTTGAACTGTTTCAAGTGTCAGAAGAAACACAGGATGAATATAACCCTTTAGGAGCCTAACCTTACAGACTGTGAAAGAGCAGAGTTTCTTTCCCCTTTGTGCTGTGTTTGCTGCTTCCCTCCTTCCCCACACACACAGTTTGGTAGAACACTTGCCTCTCCCTTCCTGTGCTGTAGACACCACACACACACACACACACACACACACCTTTCCGTGGCACGTGGAAGGAAGGGTAGGAGTTTGGGTGCTGGAGTACTTATTTAGCTGTTGTTTTTAAAGCTGAGCCCATGAGTTACTCCTGATAGGATGTTTCATGTAACTCATCTCATAACAATTAGTTCTCTTCGGTGTCTGGCCCTTCTTTTACGGCAGTTGGCATCTCTGGTCATTTTGTGTCCTCACTTTTGACAATATTTAGGACTGCTTTGCTTCAGAGGTGTGTATTTGTCAGCAAGGTCTTTATCTTCCTCTTCTCTCCACCTGGCCTGCACTCCACAGGGCTGTTCTCCAGCCCTGCGCAGCCCTTTGCTCTCTCTCCCCCATCTCATCAGTGGCATACAGAGGAAGCTTTCCACAGAGCAGTTTCTTTCCTTTAAAGCTGCTGCTGCTGCTGACATGAAGCCCTGGACTAGCAGGACCAGTTGGTTTGATCGGCTGCGGAGCTGCGTGTCCCTGGTTAATGCCACGGTGACTCAGGCTGCTGCCTGTGCCCTGTACTAAGCCTCACAGTTGCCCAGGCGTTGAGCAGGAATCGCTTCCTCTGCTTTCAGTTCCACACCTTTGTTTGTGCAGCCAGCCTTGCTGTTTGCCTTGTGGTTTGTTTCTTCTCCGCTGCTGAGGTTTGTTCCAGTTTCTCAATCACCTGTTCTGACGTGATCCTGATTTCCTGCAGTATTTCTTCTCCTTCCCCAGGGAAAGGCATGTCTGCTCCTGGCATCTGTCTTTGTCTCCCTTTGTGGATGCTGAGGCAAAGAAGTCATTTAATTTTTTAGCAATGTCTATCTTTTCTGTCAATTAAGTCCCCTTTCCATCTCCTAGAGGCCCTGCTGTCTCCACAGTTGACCTCCTCTTCCTTACTGTGCTTCTGAAATGCCTTATTTAGTACTGCTTTTTATCCTGACTTTTTCTATCCTGTAGCTTAGTGTTACCTCACCTTATGATGATCCATAATCTTACCTGCTCCTACCTCGTTCCTTGATTGCTCCAGGACACTCTCACTCCTCTCATTTTTCCTTTTTACCCGTTGCCCTTCCTTGTTTTGTTCCCATGCCCTTTATCATATGCACTCCTGCTGTGTTTAGCACTAAGTGACGTGAGGAACCTTTGAGGAACCTTTGAGCAGATGGTACTTTATCTTTGAATGTTTCCCCTCTGAGTCCCCTTCTTTCCACTGCTTTTCCCTTTCAAGCTCTTTAGCTCTTCCAGGGTCCTCTAGAATATGCATCAGAGAGTTCATTGCACTGATCAGCCCGTTACTGGATCATCCCCTTTTGCCAATTACTGATGTGTCTGTCTGTCAGTACGTTCCATGCACTGTCTGTCTGTATGTAGATACTACTTACATGGCCTGTTTTTTTTTTCCACCCTGTATGTCAGAAGTTTCCAAATTTGCTATGTGGGATGCTGAGTGGTGGCCTTCAGAAATGGATTAGGTGCATGTTGTTGGCTGTTGCTTCTCATGTCCTACTCTTAATTGCACCCACAGGCTGGCTGAAAACCCTGCTCTTTTTGCATTGCACTATTTTTTGTTGTGAGCAAATACTGTATCCACATGGAAAATAATGATTAGCAGGGCTGTCATGCATGGGAGAAGATGTGCTCACAAGGTCGAGATGGTCTGTCTGTAACGCTTTGTTCTGTTCTTGTTGATCCATCTCGCCTGTCTTTCCATTGATCTATCCATCTTATTGAAAATTCCCATATGATCTTGCCATGATCATCTTCTCTCTGTGTGTTTTACCATTTAATCCACTGGTTTGTGACCTTGTGCATACCATACAAAATACATACATAACTGGTACAAACTAATGCATGCCTGAGCTTTTCTGAGGTCCTCTTAGATGGGCACATACCTAAAATTTAGAGTCTGTATTTGACCAATGTTTATTTGTTTCTTTCTGGTATGGGAGGTTTCTGCAACTCACTGCTGTGGTATCTAAACTCACACATGAAAATTTTACAATTGTATGATACTTAATTCAAGGAACTTTCCTTTCTTACTCTCTCCTAAGTAAGCAATTAGATAATGGAGATGAATTTAAAATGGAAAGACAGATAGATGAGGGATGTACAAGACCTGAATGATCCTGCTCAAGAAGCACCTTTAAATAGTAACAAGTAAGACAAAGAAGGTGGGAGGGTCACCATCCTTGGAGGGGATAAAGGAGATGGGGTTTAATGCCATAAACATGTGGGATGAAAGCAGGAAAAAAAAACTTACTTTGTATGTACCTCGCTTACAGACACCACTGTCAGGACACTGTTTCATTCTCTCTCCCTTTCTTTCTTCTGTCCTCCTCTCATGTTTGCAGGTTCTCTGGCAGTCAGCACTGTGGACATATACACTGTGCATACCAGTATCGAGAACATTACCACTGCCTTGACCCAGAGTGCAACTACCAGGTAAAGGAATGGTAAAAAGTTATCAGCACAGCTACCTGAATGTGAAGGGGTACAACCGAGGGGAGATGTGTGTCTTCCTGTGCTTTCTTCAGTACAACCTAGGGGAGATGTGTGTCTTCCTGTGCTTTCTTCCCTCATGCACACACATGCCTCTTCACTTTTCCTCTCTGAAAGAGGGCAAGATATATTTTGAACTTACTACAGTCCTTCTTTTGTTCCTATTTAACCCAGTCTAACACCATTTAACCAAACCTAGATCACTATAACCAAGAGCAGAAGGTAGATCAGCTCAAGTCAGTGGGAACTGTTCCAGATTTACATCAGTGAAACCAAGAGAATAAATTCTGCTGTGTTACAAATCGTGCCTGAAACTAGGGAATGCTGATCTGTTAGTCTGTCTCTTTC